CAACTGCACAGATGCAGCAGCTAGAGCTTCAGAGCTGCATTGTGGTTTGGCATCTCAGACTCAAAAACCAGACTCTGGGCTCCCAGGGCTCCAAAGGATTCACCCACTTTCTCTGTGGTGACCACTGGGCCATGCTATGCCAAGGATTAACACTCCAGACTACACCTGTCTCTTAAGTTACAACGTCTTTGCTGAGTCAGGCAATTAGAAAGGAAATGCTTATTGAGTCTGACAAATAATTCACATTGGAAGTATAATCATAGTAAGAGTAGACTATGAGTTAAGTAGGGAGAACAAACGAGAAATGAGAAATGATCTCCATTGCATTTCACTCAGCTTGTAAAATAGACTAGGTGAAAAGGAAAATTGGAATTGTAATTAAAATGAAAGGTTGTAAGGCCCCTGATGACTCAAAGGGTAGCACTAAGCAGTTGCGTAATAATATTATAGTCTATATAAATGCATTGAATACAAGATTGCAAAGATATCCTCTTTTCCCAAGTTGGCTGTTGGATTCTGAGATGAGCAGGTTCTCCCCAATTCTTGTTTCACAGGGCAGAACAAATGATACTGTTGGGTTACTATTTAATTCTCTGTATAATGAATACAACTTTAAAAATATTCAAAAAGCCTTCTTAAATGAAGTGCGGTGTGCACTTTTTCAGGACTTATTTTCAAGTCTCACATTCACTTACAGTTATTACCAGATGATACTGTTGGGAATAACCTGGGATTTTAACAATAGGCACAAATGAACTTTAATGGACTAAAACATGGCCTTTTTTGTTTTAGCCTTAAATTCGGCAACAGAAGGAGTCGTGTAGCCAGTGTTCAACCTGAAAAATAAAAATATAAAACATAGTGAGATCCTTCTGGACTATGCTCAAGACCCCTAAAAATGGAGTTATTGTGAGGGGTAATAACGATTACCAGGCTGTGACTAAAAAAAGAAAAAAAAATTTCTTTAGTGTTTTCAACTTAGGGGGTAAACTTGTTTTCAAAAGAAACAAGGAAATACAGAAGGCCAAGGAGATGTGAGGGCTGAAAAGACGAGGGGAAGGGAAGAAGAGGTACCATAGCAGAAAAAGCAGAAAGCACAGTATTGGGTCTTATATATAGACTCACAGTCCAGGGGACTGAGGGAGCGAGAGATGGGACGGGGGCAGATTAATGGCTGGAGAGAGCCAGACAGCGCGCGCTGAGGAAGGGCCGGCGTGAAAAGATTTGGCGTCGTCATGGCAACGGGCTCAGCCCTGCTCCCCCTGAAGCCCATTCAGCTCTGAGCTGCCGGAACACGTTTTTAATTAAAGCGTATAAAAGTTGTTTTGTAAGGACTTCTCCTCATCCGATAGATTTCCAAATGGTTAATCAGGCTTCATCTCCTTTTGATGCTCACAAGAGCATGGGCTACTGCTGCACAGAAACCGCCGCCGCCGCTGCTGCAGCCGAGTGAGTTATCTCTCAATCACATCTAAGAGCGGGAAGGAGCGGGGGCGTCTCGTTGTGTAGACACGTATAAACAGAGAACTCAAGCAGGAGTGCGGGCTCCGTTCTTATGACTGTAAGTGCAAGCGTTCATTCTCTTTGCTCTAGATACTGTGGAATTCGTCCTTCTAGATGGCTATTGTCTCTGGTTGATGTTCTATTCAGCCTTTGAAAACAGCAAGGTTTTTTTTTTTTTCCTTTGAGAGACATAGCCCAAAAGCCAAAATAAAAGATAGACGTTATTTGTTCCAAACAGTATTTAATCTAGCCTAAGTACCCCAAGAAAAAGATTTGCACTACTCATGTAAAAAGATGGCAACCCATCCCCCTCCTTTTTTTTGAGAGAGAGTAAAAGGGATCTCACTCCTAAATCCTTGTAAATTCACTGCATACAGCAACAGTTGCATTTTCTTCTTTAATAAAATGGATAACTTAATAGAAAATGGCAGTTTATTGTCGAGTCACTAAACAACTTCATGACAGATGACTGGAACCTTCCTCAGGCTTTTTCATCTCCTTTCTCCTAAATCTTGACAGATGATCTTCGTTTCTAACTTCACTGAAAAGGAAACCAAAAAAAAGGATTGTACCTGCTATCCATCCCTTCTTCTACTCCATATTCCAACTCCACATTTCCGTTTCTGAGCCAATACCTCCTCTCCTAGGGCCAGGAGGAGGGGTCCTGCCTCCCCCCAGGGCAAACATACCCACCGAAGTTTGAGTCCCAGATGCTCTTTTCTGGATTTCACTGCCTCACCAGCATCTTTACTGTTTTTGTTCCCAATGGCTTCTTCTCCTCAGCTTTAAACATGTAATAGCCATCTCCATTTTAGGGGGGAAAATTCCTTAAACTGGTTTCACAAAATCATCTAGTTAACTTTCCCTTGCCCTCCTTTTCACCGCTAGACTTTTCAAATGCATGGTGTTCCCCCACGGGCTCTGCTTCTCCACAGCCCTGCAGTCTGATCTGTGGCCCCTAAACCCTCTTTCTTGAAGATCATCTGTGATCCCTTGGTTCAATGATGTTTTTACTCCATTTTTTTTTTTTTCCTGAGTCTTAAATAGTCCTAACAGTTCTGAATATTCTTAGCAACGTTGAACACTTTCCCACCAAGGACCCCCTGGTGCCAGCCCGTCTTCATTCTCTGCCTCTTCTTGACTGCTTCTCTGTCTCTATAACTGTCTTCCCCGTCTAGTCCAACCTCCACCATAGCTCGCCAAGGCCAAGGCCAAGTCCATTGGCTTGAGAGAGAAAAAAATAGCCCCTCGCCTTCAGAAACTGGCTTGACACTCCAGTGAGGCTGTGGTGTATTAGGAATTGGTCTGACACTCACAGTTAGGCCAAGGTGTTTTCCTGTCAAACACAAACAATTCTTCTGAACACTAAACAAGCCCAATCTATAACGATAGAGAAGCGACACAAATGCAGGACCACTTTGTGTGTGTGTTTTACAAATTACAGCTTTAGCTTTGTTCTGGCCTTCCCTCCTCCTAGATAAGATTTCTTAACATACCCACCTAATCACAGAATTACGCCCACATCCCGACAGCATCCGATCCAAAGTCCCACTTTCTTGAACCCTCCCCCAAATCACCTCACACAAGCCCCAATCCTATAAGTCCTTTCTAACACCCTCTTCCTGAAATGCCATACAGTTCCCTAAGATGCATGGTCTCCCTTATTTGCAACAAGCAGTAAATCCAATGTGTTCAACTACAGATATGTCCCTGATGGTCTTTGGCTGGAGGACATTGATAGGTCCTTTGTTCCTTTGTTTCATGGCCTGAGCTGTCACGTATGCTAAGCTAAAAGTCCATCCCAGTCCTCCCACAAAACTCCCATCTTATTTCTATACCTGTCTATAAGGTATTTCCACGAATTTTCAATAAACTTAACTTACAGCAACACAGTTCTCTCAGTAACAAGGCATGACTCCTGACTTCCATATTTTTCTCATTCTTTTAGTCACTCAGGCTTGAAAAGCCATAGTTGTCATTGACTCACCCCTCTTAGTGCCCATACACCTGCAATTAATTAATGTGCCTTATCAATACCCCCATTACCCAAAGCTTTCTTTCCTTGAGATTCCAAAGGTCATAATTTTAGTCCATACTACTTTCTACCATCTGTTGAAATAGCCTCCAGAATCTTTTTAGCCAATTCTTGTCTGTACACCATTTCTAGCCTAATATTCCTGATCAATAGGTTTCAGTGAACACAAATACGTCCTAACCTCTTGAGGCCAGAGTTTTCACAGAGGTAAAATTAGGAATTACATATGAATAAATAGTATGATTTGCCCCCCTTATAAAAGATAAATGTCATTGCTGCACACATGGAACGGGGAGAGCAAGAATGCCCTGGTCACCACAGGACTGGGTTCATGTGTTGGGATCTATTCTTTGAGAAATATAGAGAAAGTGAGGTGCATTTAGAAGATTCTGGATATAGATAAGAACTGAACATGCCTCCCGAAGGATGGTTTAGCCTGGGGGTGTTTGGCCATAGAATAAAAGATTTCTGTTACATTTGAAGGACATTACAGTTATTTCAAGCATGTGTGAGAAAGATTAGGATAATTTATGGCACGTGATTGCAGAGGGCAGAATTAGGGCCAGAAGTAGAAACTGGAGAGGATTACAGCTCCACATAAGGCCATTTGCAGCAGTATAGACAGAGTAGGCCATCTCAGCAAAGAGTGAGCTTCCCAGCATTGAGCATTCCAGTGTAGACTAGATGACCACTTGGGTATACGTTTCCCTTGAATTCGTGCTTTATTTATTTAGCTGTGATCTTTAGACTTTCAACTACAATAGATTTGTTTCTTTCGAACAAGATAAACTATTTATTTCATGTATTTTATTTTCCCTTAAATGGTCACTATTCACTGATCTCATCTCACATATTGACCTTTCCTGGTGCTCTCACTCTTTCCTCTGTGATCACATTCCATTTGCCTAATCAACTCCCCTTAGTGGAGTTCTGCTTGTGATATCTTCTCATGTTTTGCTGGGCATTTAACTCTAGGTTGTTGACTTTTTTACTTTTAGTACTTTAAAAATGCTGTTTCATTTTATTCTGGTTTCTGTCTCTCTCAGAAGTCAATCGCCAGTCTTATTGTTACTATTTAGAAAGTAATATGTCTTTTTTTTCTCTTTTTAAAGTCTCTGTCTGGTAATTTCAACACTTGGGTCATCTCTGGGTCTGATTCTGTTAACTATTTTGTCTTTTCATATGGGTGTTTTTTCTTTCTTTTTAATGTGTCTTGTATTTTCTTAAAAACTAAATGCCAGATATTGTGTACAAAAGAACAGTAAAGGGGCCGGCCTCATGGTGCAGTGGTTAAGTTTGCACATTCCGCTTTGGCAGCCCAGGGTTCACTGGTTCGGATCCTAGGTGTGGACTTACACATCGCTTATCAAGCCATGTTGTGGCAGGCATCCCACATATAAAGTAGAGGAAGATGGGCATGGATGTTAGCTCAGGGCCAATCTTCCTCAGCAAAAAAAGAGGAGGATTGGCATCAGATGTTAGCTCAGGGCTAATCTTCCTCCAAAAAAAAAAAAAAAGGAACAGTAGAAACTGAGGTCATGTCCAAAATGGGAATACCTCTGTCAGGCTGTTAGTTTGGGGATCTGAGTGAATTTAGTCAGCCTTCAAGGTGAGTTGGGTTTGTGGTTGCTGTGGTTGTCTTTAGTGGACCCACACACTTCAGATTCCTCCAGGGGTGGGCTTGACTGCCACGACCTTGTAGTTTGTGTGAGGTCTGGAGCTCTCAGTCTCTCTGCTCCACCCTCAGATTTCAGCAGGTGCTCTATGCCTGAGCATGGAGGGAGCTATTTCCATGGTTTTGCTCCTCCTCCAGCAGTACATGGCTGTTAGCTGTACTAGATTCAAGGCTCCCCGTGGGGCAGGGGAGGGGTTTCTCAGCTCTCCTGCTCCCGTCTGAGTCTTAGGCAGGCCCTGTGCACCTGTTCCAGTGGCAGACAGTCTCTGCCTCCTGCTCAGTGCAGGGTCTAGGGCACAGGCAGGTTCCATGTCCCTTTCTCCAAATTCTGCTTGTGTTGGTGGGTGTCTTAGATGTGAGCGAGTTTGGGAAGATCACCTTGGTCTTATGAAGCCAGTCTATTTACAATTTTTCCTTACTCCATGGCACAGCTTCCCAGGATCTGAATCAAAAGCTGAGTCTCTCCTTTTTGGTGAGACTTGCAGTACAATTTTTGTCTTCCCAGCATCACGGGACTGGCAAATTCTCTCTTAGCTTTTCGTCTTCTTGTGTTTTTTACTCAGTTTCTCTGTTTCTTGTCCTGAAGCTAATCTCTTAGAAATCAGAAAATGCCTTTAGGGAAAATTATATATAGACCATTGGTCTCAGCTATCTATAGTTTTTTTCTCTTGATCTTGGCCCCTCATATCATAGCTGCTTAATTGAGCCCTGAACTCCATTTTTTGTTTCCCCAGCCCAGTTAAACTGCCACAAGCTCAAGAATGCTGCTTTGAACGTTCTCTTGAATCAGTGAATGCCCCAAGGGAAGAACACAGCTGAGAATGCAGGACTCCCCTCCACCCATCTCCTTCTCTCCAAGATCTTGGCCCTCGAGTCCTGGTTGCACTGTTGTTTCCCAGTGCCTTCAGATTTTGTTTTGTTTTCCTTAGTATTTCATTCAGGTTTTATAGTTATTCTCAGTGACTGAATTAATCTCCTTCTAGCACCTCTGTTACAGCCAGAAGACAACGTTGCCTTATTATATTCTAAACCCGAGCCCCTAACCATCAAGTCTTGGTGATTCTTATAAAATCCTCTTAATTACCTTGTGTTCAAGCCTCACATTCACTTTCTTCCCATAGTTTATGTATTGGCATATAATTGAGGTCATGTTATGGTAGCATTTATTTTTCCATAAACTTTGGTTGATTTGTCAATAAAGATCATCTGGTTATATATTATAATTTATAGAAGAGTTGAATATTTTGATACTACTTAGTCCAGTATGTTTTTTTTTTGCCTAAGAGGAGGAAAACTACAGATTAACATCATCATGAAGAGTAAACCTTCACACTTGGAAGACAGATCAGTGTACAGGATTTGTATTGGAGTTTACATAGTTTTGATTAGATAATGTCCTTAACAGAGGAATCTCATAGAGAGGCAAGTTGGATAAGTATATATTCGATTCAAATTAATATAGTAATTGAACAATACATAGAAAATAAATACTGTGATACATGAACCTAGGTTAAGCAAGTTAATCAAAAAATTCTCTTGCAAATGGATTTTAACCTGAGTTCTAGCTAGCTGGAGTGATAGTAAACTGTGCTGGTGGAAGTGAAGAGGTAGAATGTTCTAGAAGTGAAGGACATTTTTAAGCTAAAGATTGTTGATAAATAGCAAGAAGATGGAAGATTAGGGAAGAAATGGAAATACATTAGTATTAAACAGTTTTATAATATCTACAGAAAGGGGAGAAATTTGAAAAGGAATATAATCTGAGCTCATATTGAAAGCTAACACATGTAGGACTGGTTGAAAGAAGGAAGTGACTGGAGTTGAGTGATCCTTTTAAGAAGGAAGCTGTAGTATGGCCACCATCAGACTGAGGTAGCAATGAAGGTAAAGTGGAAGGATTTGATTAATACTATAACTTGCAGCATCTTTTGGTGGAATGAATGGAGATGAAGACAGGGGAGAGTTTAAGAGAATAAATACAAGGAAGCCAGATACCATTTTTTTCTCAATGTCATTTTAAGAAAGTTAAGCTGAGGAAGTGACAAATTGTATTCTTGCAGATCGTGGCAGGAGGGAACGTCACGGCAGGGAGGATAAAAGTTTTGGGTGCTGTCTTTGTCTAATTTAATTTCAGGAGATGAATCTCCATTTGAGATTAATTTATTCATTATTGCAATCAACACATTTGTTGAACAATTCCTACGTGTAAAGCATTATAATAGATACTTACAGATGATTCTTGATCTCAAAGAATTTACAGTCTGATAGGAGTGATGAGATAAAACAATTATTTAACTCTGGGGAAAAGTAGAAAATGGCAGTTTCAGTTCCTGGCTCAAGAAAGGTTTGTTGAATGAAAGAATGAAGGGCAGAGAGCCACACATAAAATACTAAGAGTTGAGACGAGAAGTTATTTATCCATGAGAAGATCAAGAGAGGCTTTCATAAGGAATATGACAACTGAGCAAGACCATAAATGTCAGATAGGACTTAGATGTGAGACTGCAGGGAGCGGGTAATGCCAGGTGGAGGTAACAGTGTCTGGAAGTGAAAGTTAGAAAGTTCAGGGTGCATAGAAGAAAAGGTGAAGTTGAAGCGTGAAAGAGGGTCCTCAGCGAGATCCAGCTGAGGGAGTAGGCTGGAACAAAAATCTGGAGGGCCCTGGATGCTCTAAGGAATGTGGAGTTTATTCAGAAAGTAATATTTAGCATTAGAAAGATAATGTATGGATAACAAAATATTTGAATCACTTGTGGATGTACAATTAGAAGTCTAAAGAGAAAGGAGGAACAGAAGAGTTGGGGCTCAAAGTCATTCATAATGCAAACGTGCAGATTCATCCCTCCTTCCAGTGCTCAGGCTCTTGTTCAAAGGATTCGTGTTACTGAGCTCATACAGGTAGAGTGCAATTCATTCACTAGCACTCAGCCAAAAAAAACTCCTTACTGTCATTAGCACTTAATTATGCTATGCGATGTGAAATTCCTTATTAAATCTTTTCAGAGGCAGCAAGTAAGAAGAGTTAGGAAGCAATTTCCTAGGAAAAGTAGTTTATATTTACTGTCTCCATTTCTACGTTTTTCATTCACTGCAATCTGGATTTTGTCTCTCATTATAATAGAAACTGCTCTCATTAAAGTCACCTTGGACTCCTGAATCACCAATCCCAATGGCACTTTGCTCAAACGCCGCCTCCTCTAAGAAGGTTTCCTTAATCTCATAGACAGGGAAGATACCCTTTCACCCGTTACGCTGAAGCCCTCTGAGCCCACCTCTGTGATGGTACCTATCGAACTGTATTACAATTATTGACAGCCGTGTCATTCCCTCTGGACTGTGACTTCCATGAGGGCAGAAAGTGTGTCTTATTCAACTTTGTATTCCCAGCACCTGGTATGATGCTGTCTGAATTATTGATAAATGCAAACAATAAACTCCCCTCTATTATCTCTCTCAATTCTCTCCTCAAGATACACTTTTAGAAAAATACTGAAGACTTCCAAATATAATCAGAATAGAAACTGTCCTGAAGACTTCCCAATGTCACTAGAATAGAAACATTTCCTCTGAGAACACTACTTTCACCTTCATTTGTACTGTAAATTATCTGTCATTAAATGATTAATATAGTAATAAAGCTTAGATGATTCACAATTGAGTCTCTTGCCCTCTAACCCTCATCCACTGCTACAGTCCCTTATCCACACTTCTTGTGACTCTACCGTGTTGGGGTTTCCTTGGGTAAGGACTATTTAGATTTAGCTAAATATTTTTAAATATCTGCTGTGCTCAATGTGTTCTAGTTAGTGCTGGAGATTCAAAGATAAATAATAACTAATAAAAATAAACACCTATGAAATTTATGGTATTGTTTATTATTTCTAATTTCATCTGACATAGTTTTTTCTAGTAATAAAGCTCATGGTCAATAAACATCTCAGTATTTTATTATTCTGATTGATTGTTTTGCTACATCCCTAGATCTTTGAAATTTAATATGCGAAGACCACTCTTGTCCACATTTTTATAAACACATACACGCACACAACCTCTTTTATGCAATTTTGCAAATACTTTGGGATTTACTAACATTGATACATCTGGCAACTTGGAATTCTCTTATCTTTGGTTTTCTCTCTCTCTTTTGCTCCTTTGTTTCAGTTTTTGCTAAATTGTCTCTTCCCATCATCTACAAAGTCCGCACTTTCATTCTTTTCTTTGATTCTGGTTACTATCTCCCTTTTCAATCTTCTACTTAACTATCATCACTTCTCCCATTATCTTGTTATCTATTATGTTGATCATTTTACTCCTAGGAAAGATCTTCCTAGGGCTATCTTATGGTAGGACCATGAATGAATGATATAACTATATAGGCATCTATATATGCCATGAAGGTAGTCATCCAAAATCATCCTCGGAAAAATTTGGAAAATGTGGGGGCAGCATTTAGCAAGGGAACAGAAGTATAGGGCAGCTATCTTTTAAGAAAGTTAGTATCATATTGGTATCTAATACAGTGCAAAGTCCAAGAGAACGAAGGAATTGAGTCTGAGAGGTAAATTAAAGTTTTTCAATTGTCAACTCGTTATTGTTCCATGTGAGTTTATAATTTCCATGAAAAAACGATACATATTATGAATTAAATGTCAATAACAGCATATTATCAAGCGTTAACAAGTGGTAGAGACTAAGCTTCGATGATTGTCATATGAGGGTTGGGTGAGGTGGAACCAATAAATGTAGGCGGGGCTGAGGTGGAGAACAGTGATGCCCTGATTTGATATCCCTTGTGATAAATATCCCAGTGTCCTAAATGTATGGTGTATATAGTCCATATTTTTAAAAAACATATCTATCCAACTAATTTCAACATTACAATGTATATGAAATATACTATGTGATAAGGAAATGTGTGACCAAAGGAATCTGTAAATGTTTTGCTATGGTTTTTTTTCGTTCTGCTAAGAAATTTTCAATTTAATAATACTGAAGATATTTTATAAAAATACTGAAGTTATTTTGAGTAGAGTAGTTGAGTACACCTCTATTTAAAGATCATATTCATATTTTTTAAAATAAATGAATATCTAAGCTTGTATTCAAATTTAGTTTGTGGTTTTTCCTCAGTGTAACGAAAGTCAATTTTGGATAATTACGAGTTTGTTGGTAGATGCTATTAAAGAAATTTTAAGTGTTCATATAACCACTACTTTTTTAAATGTCAACTTAAAAAATATTTTTGGAAATACTTTCCTCAATGCTTGTAAACACCTGGTCTGTATGACGGGGTAGGGGAGCAGCAGTGGAGTTTTGCTTTTGCTTTTAGAAAGAAACTTTGGAGCATCTGTGCATTTAGATCCATTGAAAGCATTACAAAGACTTTGAAAACAGACTGAAAGAAAGCAGAGGTCCAAAATCGGTCTTTCTAATATACCGCAACATCATTCCTGACGTAAACTTTTCTTACTTCTAATTATTCTTTACTTCTAATAAAGTATAAACTATGCATACATGACAAGGTTTGCTTGTAAGAGAATCTTAGAGCAGATTTTCAGGAAATAAAATTTTCAGGAAATGAAATATTTTTTACAATGTACTATTTGTTCAAACAACATAATGAACAATAAGATATATTGGTATAAGTTGGCTATACATTTATTTAATTTTAAAGATATCAGAATTAATATATTACATAAAACCACTCCTCCTTGAAGCAAAGCGTAACTGTTTGTCACAATTATTTTAATATACTTCTCTTCTAAGATCTAGTTTAAACTCAGGGAAGCAAGGTTTGGAATGGGAAGAGTTAAAAAGCACGAAGCAACAGTAACCCCATTTAGATAAGGGGATAGATGGGCGGAGCAAGGGAACAATACACTAAAGTGCTTTTTGCTCACAGATCTTGGTTCAAATTAAGGTTAAATTCCAAAGAAGGATGTGTTTTCCCCATGTGGAGTCTTAAAGGACATGCCTTTGTTTCCAGCTTCCCAGAGAAGATATATGTTAACACAAACAAACCATTTCATAATAAATTTACCTTTTATAGAGTGACTAATGCCCTGTGGAGATAAGGTGGACTCTCAGTCACCTGTGTTTAATCCAGGCTGAAGAAATTGTGCCAAGGGCACACTGACGAAACTTTATTCCTTTGGAGAGGATGGCAGGAACTTGGTAGAGAGCGGAAAGGGTCTTGGTTTTAAAAGTCTCATTGGGATGACTCTGCCTTCCCCACTGTGAACACAGTTCAGCATTTATGTACTTTGGAAGGACAAAGAGGTGAGGTAAGCCTGCCAAAATTTGACCTGTGTTTCTGGGAACCTGTTAGTAGGTCAACTGTTACAAATGGAAGAGAAATGCAAAGGAGTAGTGGGTCCTAGAAATTTGGGAGCTGGACTACAAATAGTTTTATTAAAGTCTGCATACTGTCTCTTCTAGATCTCAAGGGAGGTGACATGATATTTAAAACGCCACAGAGGATCACTATTATTCAACCAAATCAGGCTTTGGTGTGGAGTAGGGGTGGGACATGGAACAGCATAGAGAAAGATAACCCTTTTCTGCTAGAAATATTTACTTTACAGTTAACAGATAGAAAAAGATATTTTTGGAATTTTACCTGGGGTCTTTGTGTAACAACAGTTTATCAATCTCTTCCTTCTAAGACAGATTATTTCTATAAATAGTGTTTTTCTGTCCTTTCCCCTTTCTTTATCTTTATATTATTCTTTATTAACTAGAGGCCTAATTCTTAAGTTTCTATTCTTGCAAAATGTCTCTGAATTTGCGGCTGGGTAATTCACTCACTGAACATATAAATCCCTTTTCCATGTGCAAATCCTACTGACCTCAATTGAAGATGTAAAAATTAGTCGTGAGGCATGTGAAGGAATTCCTTTTTGAGAGAGGGAAATAAAACCCACTCATGTCAATTGTATCAGACATATCTAATTATACAGAATACAAGGTTTAGTTTATTTCTTATATTTATGAATTTATCCATGAGGGAAGGCTTAGGAAATCTATTTAAAATTGAAATAAAATAGAATAGCATCCTGCCCTCCTCCCCCACTCACTAAAAAAGGAGACGCTGACATAGAAGAAACTTGATTTTAAGTTGCCGTATGAGAATTTTTGAAACATCTCTAATTTATCAATCTGCAGCTCACTAATATTGATTCTAGACAAAATGAAGTATCATGACTTATCCTGTGCTACTCATTTCTTTATAGTGCCAAATTTCCTTCTTGTGCTGTGAATTAAATAAAAAAAAAATACTCCTTCCATGTTTTTATGTTAGCCAGTGACTAACAGGAGAAAACTCTCCTGACCCTAGACTGCTGGACAAGAGAGACGAGGTTTCTCTTCTCAGGCTTTGTAATAGCAAATCCAAATTTCAGAAATCCATTACCTATTCTGAGAGGAACACCACAAGGGGGCAGGTGAATCCAGGCAAGGTCCCAGGTGAGAGGGTCCCCATATTGGGATTTCTGGTCAAAGGAGGGGAGATGAAATGAAAATAGAAACCACTCTAAGGATAATATTTCTTCATGAGCATAAGCATTAGATCTGGATCGTTCACATGAAATCCTATTTAGAGTATATCCAAAGACATCATTAAATATACAAAGAAAATAAATGAAAGAAACCAAATCAATGTAGTCACACACTGAAAGTGTGCACTATATTTACAAAAGCCGATAGTATTGTTTTACCGAGAAGAGAAAGACTCCAGCTGAGCAGAAATGCAAAATTTACTACAGAGCAACTAAGGTGTGCTTTGAAAATAAATTACAACCAGATAGGCAGAGTACCAAATAATTAAAAAGACGTGTGAGAAGTCACCTGTGCTTCAAAGTGATCTCAATAACCAACAACTTCCTAACAGAAGAATAAACTTTGAATAATAGAGCTCAAACAGTTTTTTCTCCCTAACACCAAAAGTGAGAAATTTATTTCAGGCCTTGTAGGAAAGATAAAAGTTGCTGCTTAAAAAGGTAATTTGAAGAGTCTGCTTTGATTTTTACTAGAAATTAAACTTAGCCTAACAACAGGAGGCAGAAATTGATATTAAAAAATTAGTTCTTCTAAACAAATATTTTAAAATTGACACCAGGCATCCCCTGTGAGAATGTCAATGGCAGTATCTTCAATGGCCAACATATATACATACCTCCTATGCAAAGGAGCCAGGATTAATTCTCTCTGACAAAGCTGGAAATTATTGCCAGGGTCCCTTTTATATCTCACGAAGGAAACACATTTAAATATTTGATGTGGGTAGATAGTATATTATTTCATCTTTTATAGATTTATAAAATGAAATGCATATACTATTATAGCACAATATAGTATAATATATATAGTATAAAATAGTATAGTACAACAAAAATAGTATACGATATAATACAGTGTAATAAAGTGTGCAAGTTTTATTTCTTTCTGGTAGCTTTTGTTTAGTTTCTAATAATAATTAGAATTTCCAAAATGAGCTTTTAAGTGGCTTCTCTTATTTATGATAAAATTAATTTCTTTTTGGGCCCCTGTAACAATTTTCTATAGCAGTGACGTAGAAGTCCCTTCTTCTATTATAAATCTATTGATTGATGAGGTCTCTCATAGACGTCAGGGCAAGCTAGGTGTTAGAAGTTGGGGTGCCAAGATGAGTAATCCTTCTGTTCCATCATGACATATTTTGGTTTCACGGTGCCACAGGAGTCAACACTAGCCAAACTATTAAGCCTATTTTTAAAGCAAAGCTCTGGACTCAAATGTAAATACTCATTCTTATGTCACCTTAACAAAGTCTATTTTTCTCAAATTCACCCATTCTTCGTGTGTATATGTGTATGTAAATATACAGACACATACATAATATACACTCATACACATAAACTTATATACACATGTATACACATACTTACATACAGGATGCAATCCATCGGTGACATTTTAGGTTATTCTTTCTCCTGTTTTCAGTCTGTGAGTGAGCTTTCTCTTCCTTATCTTTCTTTATCCCAAGTAATTGCAGGGTCCTCATAAGCTTTGTCCCCTACAGGACATGGAGGCAGTTTCTGCAATGCTTGAGATAATAATGCTTTGATTTGTCAAAGTGAAAAGTTGGATGGCTTTTAAAAGCTGACCAGTCCAGGGTTATTTGCACATAGTAGACGTTCAATAAATATTTGTTGATTTGATTTATTCTAGGGTAAAGAACTGGGTAACAACCTTTGTTTTTCCTTCACTGATGTGCTGTGGTTGATCCTGTGTACAAATGCATTTGGGAGTAAATATTAACGGTCATGGTCATTGAAGACATTTTAGAGAAAAAAACTAGATCTACCGGCTGTTAGGAACAGTACGGACAACTACTCTAAGTAGTTATAAAATAATAGATGACAAACACCATAAAATAGGGGCTAACTGAAGAGCATTCTGATAGAGTATTCCGAAACCAAGTGCCTACCCCATAGTTTTTGAATCAATCACATGTTGAGAACTTAAACTTTTGACTGTATATGTTGAGGCAAAGGACGTTTTCATGCAAAAAAAATTAGGGATAATATTTTGGTTATAAAATTTATACATAAGCCACATAATATTTCCCTTGGTGTAGTTTCCCTTGTGATAGTCGCAAAAGTGTTTATGTATGTTTTATTGACAAGAGAGAGGCTTTGACCATACAAAATGAGAATTTCTCCTAAATTTCAAGTAATAGGTAACCTTGAAAGAGTTAAACTCTATGCTCTATCATTCAAAAGAGCATAATTGATTTATTTCCTTTTCTGGTCCCTAACAGTAAAAACTGTCTCTGAGCTTACAACATGTTAAATTTTGGCTCAAGGCAAATTTACAACAGCAAGGTTTATGATAAAATCTGTCAAAACATTAACCATGATGGCACAAGTTTTAGCTCTTAACAGAAACAGACAGGGATGCAGGAGCTAAGGAATGGACACACATTTGTACTTCCAGCTCTGAAAATGCCTGCTCATGTCACATATAAAAGTTATTCAATTTCTTTGTTTTCATTTTACTCAAATGTGAAAGTTCTATAAGGTGACTATGTGTTTTAATTACCTGGTTTCAAAGAGATGGGAGAGCCTAGGCTTAAAGACATAATTCTAAGTAAAAAATTACTAGCTAAGAGATCTTCAGATGTTCAAGACAAAAGCTAAGAAACTATAGCATTTTCATTTCTTGTCTGATGACTTTCAAGAAAAATTGTCTTAACATAGGTAGTGTCTTAACCTTTTTGCTGCTTTAAGACAAAGATGATTCATTTTGGCCATGTGCCAGCATTTGAGCACTATTCGTTAAGGTGATTTTAATCTTTTAATATGGCAAACAATGTTGGTAGTTTTGATTTACTGTTGCTTGATGAGTAAAGAAGCTATATTTCCTAGGAAATTACAAACAAAATACTATTATCGAGAGTGAATCACTCTTCTGGCAATCAGTTATAACCAAGATACTAGAAACAATTTCAGAGAAGGACATACTATCTTAAAAAACAAAATTTGATTAGACACAGGCAGGACAGATCCATGAGAAGAAACTCTTTACGGAACTGAAAAGTTTTCAATGTGTTAATGTCATGGTCATACAAGTAAAATACAGTGAATATTCTATGTCTGAGTGTTTCAAAAAGGCTTCAATATAATTGACCTATTTATTGGAAGAATCATATGCATTTTTTAAGCTTTAGGATCTTCATTCAACAAGTTACATGATGAAAATTGGTGGAGACTAAAATAGAGATAAAATTAGTACCTAAATATTAATTTTTGAAGCTGTAGCTTGGTGGGTAATGCTCACGCACAATTTGTTTTTGCATTTGAATACATTAAAATATGGCTCAGGCATTGTAAGAATAATAAATAACCAGAAAGTAAAACCTCGTGAAAGTTTATGAAAATAATCAGAATTCAGAACACTTCAGTTACTTTTAGGAAATGAGGAATCACTAAATTTGAAATTGTGATTCCAAGTAGATCACGGCAATGTCAGAAGGCATCCGGACAGACCACATGGGCTCATTCATTGCTTGCCTTCTCGCTCTTTGCCTGAATTTTGACACACTTGGTTCCAGAAAGCAATTTAGTTCTTACTGTTGTTCAATAAAGATTTAAATAGTCTATTTTGTGGTCTGGAGATTTTGTATAAACTTTCCAAGACAACGAAACCGTGTCTTCACTTTATCATAGAATGAAATTTCAAACTTTGGACTGTCTGGGACCAAAATTTAACAGCTACACGAGAAATTCTGAGTAACAAACCAAATCTAACCATCAACTCCCGCCCCCCCAAAAACACCAAAAATCCCAAACTCTTCACTTTAAATGGATTATGGTTATAAGTCACAGTCCTCAGGTAAGCAGAATATTTCATCTGGTAATGTGCCAGGTGCTAGATTATTTGACATAATAGTATACATGTTTTAATACTGCTATTTTAAGAAAGGATACTCAAATATTAATCTTTTACTGTCATACGTTTTTTAGAAAGACAGGTCACACAAATGTTTATAAAACAAAAATATAGTTTGAAAACTTAGGTTTCATCATTGGCAAGAATGACTACTCATCAAGTATTTACCTGTGCAAAGAAATATGAACAAGACTGAGTCTCTGATCTCCAGAAGCCGCTTTCTAATGGGAGACAGTACAGGAATACTGGAACACGAGAAACTTAATAACCGCCCTAATAGAGATGAAGTAAGAGCGATAAGGCATACAGAAGAGAGATTAACTACGACTTGGCAGTGGGATGGGGGTGGGGAGCTGGGGAAGCCCCCTGTAGGGGTGGCATAGAAGTGTTCTTGAAGGATGAATTGGCTTTAAACACGTGAAGGTGGATTGGACTGAGTGGGGGGTTAAAAATGGCAAACGAATTAAACAATGAGAGTACAAGGTCGGAACTGGAATGGAGAGTCCAATTGGAGCACAGGGTCTAAGGTATTAGTGTGAATGAAAGTGACTTTTATTAATTTTCTTGCCATCCACATGAAAACAAAATAACGTGCCAGAAATTAGATGTATGATTTGGGCAAGTGGTTCTTTAGAGAAATCCAATAGGGGCCCAGAAAACTTTCGTAAAATCTAAAAAGAAAAGTACACACACACACATTTTATTCTTTGATTCTAGAAATGATAAAGCCACGGTTTGTCTTACCCCAACTTAACAGCAATAACACCTACTATGTGTAAACTTGCAGTCCACAGTGTGGCTATATTGCCTGCAAAGGCTGCAATTGTTGTAAAAGCAGAAATAAAGTGATTATTTTGAGATGGTTGAGGTTTTAATCAAAAGGCCATTTCTGATTTCAAAAGTTTTTCCTCACTTCTAGAGGACAAACAAGGTTATAATTCACATTCCTCTATGTCACCTAAATAAAAGTATACAACTGCTCTTTATAATGTGACCATAGCTTAAGAAAATAAGATGCAAAAAGCAGATCTAATTTTGCCAAGGGATAAGACTATGATTTAAGACATTAGTAATCAGTGTACACGTTCAAGTAAGGAGTAATTCTTCAAAGCAATAACGCTGAGGAATTTTATGTCAAGTTATTCTATCAATGTTCAAACTATATTTGATTTTTCTCCTCCAGAATTATCTTGAGAACTGGTTGATGAGTTGGAAAAGAAATTCAATCTCCTCTCTTTTAGTCACCTGGTTTTTGTTTCAAAACAGTATGTTTAGAAGCAAAATGAAGCTTAGAGATTTAAAATCAAAATTTGTCTTTAGCAAGCCAATGTGTACATAATCTATATGGGTCCGAGAAGCATTCCTTGTGATGTTATCAGAAGGAGATCCCTAAGAAACAAAGGCCGATGGAATGGAAGAAAAGGGCCGTGAGACAAATTACACTTGACTGGCGCATGTGGCAGCTCTCACCTTTCCAAATATTACGTAATTTTGGTTTGTCTATTTTGGGCAAAGTTCCTAAGTTTGAAAACAGGTATGCATTTTGAAGTTTCTGCCACAGTAGCTGTGATTGTGAAATAAAAGTCACTCAGTTTAAGCTTTCTTAGGGGCGCCTTGGTATATTTTCTTATTTTCCATATGTATTATGAATGCTAATTTTCGGGGCGCAGTTGCGCTAGACAGGCAAGAGCATCTTACTTGCCTAAAGACACACAAATCATACGGTTTGGATTATAAAACCAGAAAGGTTGATTGCTGTTTTCTAAGGCTTGCTTTACGTGGAGCCAGCGTTAAAAGTTCGTTAGCTAGAGCTTAACGACACAATGACTGAAGGAATGGGGTTACCACACAAGTGTTTAAATTCCATGCTGGATCCCTAGCTACAACGGAGAAGAAAGTTCAAACAACAAAAACAGAGTTGCAAGGTCTGACCTTGTGAGTCATGGACGCCTCTCACTCATTGCCAGGCGGCTCTGACTCGGGGCAACCAGGCCCTCCCAAGCAACGTGGCTAATTGAAGGAGGATTCTGAAGCTCTTGGCTGCAGATAAACCAAAGTGGCACATGGCTCATAACTCAAACATTTCATTTTAGGCAGCTGTTAGTTTTCTCGCACGGGCTAATTTGGATTATTCAATCATTTTCTTTTCTTTAATGAAAAACTGCTTGTAGTTTCTGGTGGGGGCAAAGAGCTGCGATTATGGATCTTGGAAGGTAAATTTATTATCTACTCATTCTAATTATGTATACAAGTGATGCTAAATTCAGAGCATTTTATTAGCAGCACAATTATATAGCTCTGTGTGTATGAATTTAATAACATTCAGCCCTGACTACTGTTTCTATGAGGGACCTGGAACCTCTCTCAGTGAGTAACGAAAAATACTGGATAGAAAATGACAAACATCTTAGATGCAGCAATATGTTGGCAAGTTGGTAAGGAGTATTCAGAGGCCAAAACCTCCGTAAAACTGGGAACCCTGAATGGTAAGGGAAGCACAGAAGGCAGTTTTTACCTTGAAAGCATTGTCTTAGGATAGGGGTGAAGTTGAGCTTTCACGGTCTTTTAGTGGAGCAGGGAACAGAGGACAAAGTCCAGGCCCCACCCAAGGAGAGAAATCTTGAACTCAGGCTATGAATGGAGGATAAAAGAAATACCTCCTGTAGGATTTTTTTTTTTTTCCTTTTAGATTTCACATATGAGTGCGAACATATGGGATTTGTCTCTTTCTGTCTGACTTATTTCACTTAGCATAATGCCTTCAAGGTCCATCCATGTTGTCACAAATGGCAGGATTTCCTCATTTATTTAATTTATTTATTTGAGGAAGATTAGCCCTGAGCTAACTGCCACCAATCCTCCTCTTTTTGCTGAGGAAGGCTGGCCCTGAGCTAACATCCGTGCCCATCTTCCTCTACTTTATATGTGGGGCCCCTACCACAGCATGGCGTGCCAAGCGGTGCCATGTCCGCACCTGGGATCCAAACCGGTGAACCCCTGTCACCGAAGTGGAACGCGGGCACTTAACCGCTGCACCACCAGGCCGGACCCTCCTCATTTTTTTATGGCTAACAATATTCCATTGTATGTGTGTATATATATATATGTGTAGGTGTATACACAGCTTCTTTATCCATTAATCCATCAATGGACGCTTGGTTGTTTCCACACCTTGGCTATTGTAAATAATGTTGCTATGAACATGGGGGTGTAGATATCTTCTGGAGTTAGTGCTTTCATTTCCTTTGGATATATTCCTGGAAGTGGAAATGCTGGGTCATGTAGCAATTCTATTTTTAATTTTTTTGAGGATCCTTTATACTGTTTTCCACAGTGGCTGTACCAGTTTACAATCCCAGCAACAATGTACAAGGGTTCCCTTTTCTCCACATCCACACAAGCATTTGTTATCTCTTGTCCTTTTGATGATGGCCATCCTAACAGGTGAGAGGTGATATCTCATTGTGTTTTGTTTTTTTTTTTGTGGTTGTTCCTTTTTTTTTTTTATTGAGTTATTGATAGGTTACAATCTTGTGAAATTTCAATTGTACATTAATGTTTCTCAGTCATGTTGTAGGTGCACCACTTCACCCTTTGTGCCCACCCCCCACCCCACCTTTCCCCTGGTATCCACTAAACTGTTCTTGGTCCATAGTTTTAAATTCCTCATATGAGTGGAGTCATACACAGATTATCTTTCTCTCGCTGGCTTATTTCACTTAACATAATTCTCTCAAGGTCCATCCATGTTATTGCAAATGGAATGATTTTGTTCTGTTTTGCAGCTGAGTAGTATTCCATTGTATATATGTACCACATCTTCTTTATCCATTCGTCTGTTGATGGGTACTTAGGTTGCTTCCACATCTTGGCTATTGTAAACAGTGCTGCAATAAACATTGGGGTGCACAGGACTTTTGGGATTGCTGACTTCAGGCTCTTTGGATAAATACCCAGTAGTGGGATGGCTGGATCGTATAGTAGTTCTATTTTTAGTTTTTTGAGGAATCTCCATACTGTTTTCCATAGTGGCTGCACCAGTTTGCATTCCCACCAGCAGTGTATGAGGGTTCCTTTTTCTCCGCAACCTCTCCAACATTTGTTGCTATTAGTTTTAGATATTTTTGTCATCCTAACGGGTGTAAGGTGATATCTTAGTGTAGTTTTGATTTGCATTTCCCTGATGACTAGTGATGTTGAGCATCTTTTCATGTACCTGTTGGCCTTTTATACATCTTCTTTGGAAAAATGCCTATTCAGATCTTTTGCCCATTTTTTTTTTTTTTTTTGAGGAAGATTAGCCCTGAGCTAACTACTGCCAGTCCTCCTCTTTTTGCTGAGGAAGCCTGGCTCTGAGCTAACATCCGTGCCCATCTTCCTCTAGTTTATACCTGGCACGCCTACCACAGCATGGCTGCCAAGCAGTGCCATGTCCGCACCCGGGATCCGAACCAGCGAACCCCGGGCCGCCGAGAAGCGGAACGTGGGAACTTAACCGCTGCGCCACCGGGCCGGCCCCTCTTTTGCCCATTTTTAAATTAGATTCTTTTTTGTTATTGAGTTGTATGAGTTGTTTATATATTTTGGATATTAACCCCTTACCAGATTTATGGTTTGCAAGTATTTTTTCTCATTCCCAAGGTAGGGTTCACTTTATTGACGATTTCTTTTGCTGTGCAGAGCTTTTGTTTGATATAGTCCCACTTTATTGTTTATTTTTGATTTTGCTGCCTGTAGTTCAGGTGTCATATACACAAAATCATTGCCAAGACCCAGGTCAAGGAGCTTTTTTCTTGTTTTGCCTAGGAGTTTCATGGTTTCAGGTCTTATGTTTAAGTCTTTAATCCATTTCAAGTTAATTTTTGTGAGTGGTGCAAGATAGGGGTCTAGTTTCATTCTTCTACATGTGAATATCCAATTTTCCTGCACCACTTATTGAGACTGTCTTTTCTCCATTGGATATTCTTGGCTCCCTTGCCAAATATCAGTTGACTGTATATTCTTGGGTTTATTTCTTGGCTTTTGATTTAGCTCCATTGACCTATTTGTCTGTTTTCATGCCAGTGCCACACTATTTTGATTCCTATGGCTTTATAGTATAGCTTGAAATCAGGAAATGTGATGCCTCCTGCTTTGCTCTTCTTTCTCAGGATTGCTTTGGCTATTGAGTCTTTGTGGTTCCATATAAATTTTAGGATTGTTCTTTCTACTTCTGTTAAAAATGCTTTTGATAGGGATTGCGCTGAATTTATAGATGGCTTTTGGTAGTACGGACATTTTAACAATATTAGTTCTTCCAATTCATAAAAACAGGATCTGCTATGAATTTTATAACCA